CTCACCTTTCAGGTCTCCATTCCCATCCTGGTCACTGTCCTTAAAAGACCTCGGGTAGATCTGGTACATGGGACCTGCCTGCCACCAGTCAAGGCATTTCGGAGAGATGATGATGATGGCTACGGTGGCTCCAATGAGCAGGAACACGGAAACCACGGTGAGCCAGAAGAGGATCTCCCGGGGCACCCGGTAGCGAGCCTGGCTGGAGAACTCGAACAGAACTTCCTTGGGCATCCCTGCATAGGGCCGCACCACCTTTAGGTGAGGCTCCTCTGGAGCAGGGATACTCACGGCCTGTGGGGTGTCCCTGGAGCCTGGGTCTTGGTCCTGCTCTGGGATGTCTTCATTTTGGACAAACCCGTTATTTGTCCGGCATCCCTTCAAACTCATACGGATGGAGTCTCTCTTGCCTTTGTCCACATCCATGTCTACCCTGTGCAGCCCTTCCCAGTGCTTTTCAGCAGGGACAGAGGTGGAAAGGTGGCTTGCTGAACGCTGTGGTTTGTTAATGAGCTTTGAATGGTTTATAAATAATCCTGGCTGGACAAAGTCCAGCCAAGGAAGAAAGGGTAAAGTTTAGTAAAGGGGATCAGGAGGAGTGTATGTGTGAAAATTATCTTTATACCCGGTGGCTGACTCAGCTACAGTAACAGTACATGGAGGAGGAGACTGGGGAGAAGAGGCAGGGGTACTAGCACTGGAAGATGCTACTTGTGTGAGTACCAACTGCCTACAGTAATACTAGCCACAAAAGGACAAAGGGTGGAGTGACCCAGAGGGATGGCAAACAACGTGAAATGAACATACGGAGAAATTATCCCTTTTAAAAGGGAAACAAAGTCTGACACATACTACAGGATGGATAGACCATGAGGACATTATGCTGAGTGAAAAATAACCACATCCAAGACAAATATTGTGTCGTTCCACTTAAGTCTGTTTTACAATGTTTGAAGCGTAACATTTTCTTTCTTTAGCTAGGTATAAAAATGATCTTGAACTCTGTAAGGAGAACAGGCTGTCCGTTTTGTTGGCTAGTCTCTTCCTACAGACCCCCGGAAGTGGCCCTGGAGGCAGGGAAGCTCATTATTCTATCTCAGCTCAGGCTGACTCAGTTCAACCTCAGGGCCTTTGATACTGACTTTAGAAAAGAATGTGGTTTTAGCATTCTTGTAAGCACTTCCAGAGCACGGGGTGGGGGAGGGGGGAGGGGGGGATGGGGGGGATGCTGAGCCTTGCAAGTTCAAGTGTTTTACTACAGGCAAATAGTCCTTAATCCTTGCACTAAATAGCTGTTTAATCATTGACAAGTGTAGAATACATTTCCAAGTCCCTGGAAACTGCCAAATGGCTGGTCTCAGATTCCCCAGGCCTCAAGAAATGACATGATCCACCACACTTGAGGGCTTTGATTAGATAGAAGACGTTTAATTAAAAAAAAATATTGTGGGGGGGCAGGGTGTGGTGCGCACGAGATGTTCCGAGGACAATGCTGTGGAGTTGGATGTCTTCTTCCACCTTTGCTTTCGCTCTGGGGTTGAACTCAGGAGCAGCTCCCCTTGTCTCTGTCGCCTTGTCTGGGTGTCCAACACTACAGGGTTCTCTTAGAGCAACTTAGTGTAGAGGAATCTGATACTTGTTCTTGTTTAATGTAGTCTTGAAAACACATTAATGCCAATCTCGTCTCATAAACTTGCAGAAACTGCAATGGTGTTTCTCGTCACTATACACGAAACTTTTGTGATGAGGCAGTTGTATGCTGTTGCTTGTTTTGACCAAGTCTCACTATGTATTCCTGGCTGGCATGGAAGTCACTATGGCAGATGGACAAGGCTGGCCTTGAATTCAGAGGTGGCTAATGAAATGAGTTCCCTTTCATGTTTTGATACTGCATTATCTGTCAAACACATAAATACACCATAGAAGCATCCGTGTTCATCCTCCCCACACCATGACTGAGACAGCAGCGCAGCCCTCTAGCATGCAGAATGTGGGAACTGGACTAGCCTGGAGAGCTCTTTTAAGAGTAAAACAAATCATGAGCTCACTGCTTGACCCACTAAAGTAACACCTTCCAATTTACTATATCCCAAGGCATCTTCACTGAGAGCAAAACACAAGTTAGGGGGTGTGTTTGCAACCAAAGCACTTATCTTTAACATGAAAGTGTATGCTGGTACATTTTATGTAGATGTGCACATTGTAGAACTTTGTACTACCCGTTCAAACATTAAATGCCAGCAGAAAACTTGGAAGAGATAGTTTAAATGGACATCTCATGCAGAATGGTTCATTATACCAAAGAACAAAATAACACTTTTCAATCACATAAAGGACAATTTTTTTAAAAAAGTTTCTTCAGGTAAGGGTACAAAGTAACTTGATAAGTGAAGTCTACAAAGTAATTTGGCAGTGTGTGCCAAGAGCTTTGACATTTTGGGGGTAGTTTTGAAACAGAAACTACACAAAAGAGTTGGGACTGAGACAAAAGGAGGTAGAAATACTTGGAATCATGACTACATGATTATAGGTATATGTGCATATGTAAATGTATACAGAGTATAAAAGAGAACTTAGAGGGCAGAGAAACAATAAATAATGTTGGACCACTGGCTATTTGGAAAAAATAATAAAGCTATGAAGCTAATCTTATTCTTTAAAACAAAATAATTTCTATGAACACCGACTTTAAAAGTAAAAAAAAAAATAAAATTTAGGTATTTTTAAAAAATACACAAAAATAATCCTAGAATTGAAAAGCTTTCCTACATATAATGCAAAACATAAACCTAGAGTCGATGGGGGGGGGTAAGTTTTTCTTCTTCAGAAATAAGATAAAAAGTCTGGAGAGATGGTTCAGTGGTGTTCTTCCAGAGGTCCTGAGCTAAATTCCTAATCACCATCTGGAGACTCACAACCATCTGTAATGAGATCTGATGCTCTCTTCTTGTGTATCTGAAGACAGAGCATTCATGTACATAAAATCATAAATCTTAAAAAAAAAAGCACACACACACCTAGAGGAAAACATCTGACATGTGACATTTCAGAGTGTAGAAATCTGCTTTACAGTTAACACAGAAAGTCAGACAAAGGAACAAAGGCAATAAGCACACAATACAGGAAAAAATGAGAAGTGTTAAAAATCTCACTCAAAACTAAACAGATAGAAACCCAAGTTAAAAGGTTAGTCTCTGGGTTGCTGTAGAGAGTGGTAACACGCCAGGCAAGAACACAGACCAGGGCCCAATTCTTACTACTCACACTTTAGTAATTTTGTCTTTCATTTTATGGGTACTTTGCATGTCCATCTGTGCACCATGTATGTACATGTCAGGCACCCATGGAGGACAGAAGAGCAAGCCAGGAGAACATCAGATCCTTTGGGACCAGAGTTACAGATGGTTGTAAGCCACCATGTGGGCACTGGAAATAGAACCCTGGATCGCTAGAAGAGCAGTTAGTATTGTTTCCGTGTGTGTGTGTGTGTGTGTGTGTGTGTGTGTGTGTGTGTGTGTGTTTTCAAGACAGGTTTTCTGTGTGGAGCCCTGGTTGTTCTGCAACTCACTCTGTAGACCAGGCTGGCCTTGAACTCAGATATTTGCCAGCCTCTACCTCTTAAATGCTGGGACTAAAGGTGTGTTCCAATTAAGTGAAGTAGTTTTTAAATCACACTGTGTGTGTCGAGTATGTTTGTGTACATGTGCATCACAGAATATATCAGAGGTCAGGACCACCATGGAAATCACATCTCTCCCTCTACCATGTGGGTCCCAGAGGTCCAAAACGATCATCAGGATTGGGGATAAGCATCTTTACCTGCCATCCATCTTGTTGAGCCTAAAGTTTTTGACAAATTGCATACATAAAGAGGCATTACATGGCACCTACAGCTTTCCTCTGTTGTCTTTTCCCAGGCTACTTTTGAGCCGTCTTAGTCAATCATGAGGGTTACCCCCCCCAAAGGAATTCCTTTTCAAAAGTTATTTTTTATACAACCATCTTATCAGCCTTTGGGTGATGGCTTTATTTTAGTTACCTCTCTCATTCTGAAATATTAAAGTATCTAATTCTAACCAAGTCTAATTGTTTTTCTTATCTGGGCACAGTAAACCCCAGCTAAGGGCATAACCACTGCAGTGCAGTCAGTGAGCGCATTTCAAGCCATGCAGATGAAATGTGTAGAAATAAATCCACTACACTGAAGTTTATTTTTCTGTGTAACTTCAAAACTGAATTACCCAGAGATCTCAAACCTCCAGCAAATCTTTCAATGGTTTTCCTTAAAAAGATGACCACCCACACAGTTTGCTCTGTAATTCCTAGAAAAAGCAATGTTGACCTAGACACAGACACCAAATGTGCTGCTGTGTCTTCTTGCCAGACTTTCTTGCACTTCTGACCTTGAGTGAGAATTCCATCTCTCAGAAAGGGGTGCTGATGCTGGGGTACAGCGGTTTCCCATTTCCTAACTATAAAACACACTGACTAACCCGTGGGATTGTGAAGCTAGCACAAAGGAAGCATGGTGTGCTGAATGCTGAGTGCTGGCCCAGCACATGGAGAGCCCTGGGTTTGAACCCTGATACAGTAATGAACAAGAACAAGGTTGTCCAGGTGATGTATTATCTCAAAGCACATTTTAGGCCACTTGCTGGAGCACCTACCAGCAAATAACCTGCCCGAGCAAGCAAAGCTCCATTTCTTGCATTGCTCAATACAGGTCTTGGAAGTGACCTGGATTAAACCAAAAGGGGGCTCAAGAGATTTGTTTTCATGTACAAACCTTACCTCCTCTTGTGAGAGTCCTAGGAATAATTTTAAAAAAACAGCAACCACCACAACAACGAAACCCACCAACCAAGCCAAATAAAAAAATCAGCCTCAAGATGTGTTCCTACCAGTTTGAATAGCACTTGGGGTAGGAAGATGAAGCAGTGGAATGGTAATGACAGAGTAAAGCTTTTACCTCTTTGTCCCTAGAATAAAACCACAAGTGCTACCAAGAGGCCAAATGCGTTTATTGCATGAACATGGAAAGGCTAGGTTGGCAGGGCAAGGTGGAAGTTCTCCTCCGCCTCCTCTCATGGGCTAGATTAAAGCTCATAGCAGAACAGACTGCACTGGTGGAATGCTCGACTCTTTTTTTCTTTCAAGTTTACAAAAACAGGACAAGACTTTTTTGTTCTTCTTTGTACTTCCGGGCTCTTGGTAGGTCGATCAGCCTCTGCTTTGTCACCAGAGTTCTCAGCTGGCTTTACAAATAGACGTGCTCAAGTCTGCCATCTGGTGGAAACGATAGATATTGAGACCATTTGCTTTAAGTGACTATATCTAAACCCTATGTTGGGGAAAGGGGGGATAGGTCATTCAGAACAGCACTAAGAAACACGAAAGAAGGAATTCATTTAAGAAAATACCTGTTTAAAGGACACTGAAACTACAGTGGGGGATTATAAACACGTCTGTAACTAGAAAGATGTAGCATCTTCCTGAGAGGGACCTCATCCCTTCTCTAAATATCACCAGCCAGCAAATTAATCTATGCACTTAAATAAAAACACAACCAACAGGGAAATATTGTCCACACTATCCAAAGATCATCCTGAGGGGTAAACACATTCAATTTGGTTTTTTTTGTTTTGTTTTGCTTTGTTTTTTGGTAAAAGTCAAATGAGGGGCACAGACAATCAAGTGTGGACTACAGTTGATATTCAAGATGACATGATACCGCTACATGGAATGACTGTAAAACACAACCAAATAAAACAGGAACTATAACCAAAGGGACAAGGCTGGCCTCTGCAACAGCTGGAACCAGGAGGTAATGGAGGAGTTATAGGAAGATGCTGTATTATATTCTGATCCTTTTATGTAGTTGAATTAAATGTCTGTGCCTGTTATTTACTAAGAAGGACAGTCATAAAGGAAAAATTGCATTTACTTACTCATAATAGGAAAACATTGTCATTGTATGGAATTGAAGGTTGGTAAAACTGTTGAAGAAAATGATAACATTCTAAACTTTTGCATATCAACGACTCCTTAAAGTTCAAGTTTAACATGTAAGATCTTTGCAGTCTATGTAAACTAAACTACTTAAAAACCTTCAGAGTGACATCAAAAAAGCATCACCCAGTTTGAACAGAACCTCAGGGTATGCTCGGCTCTGCACCTCTCAGCTCTTCTCTGCAGTAGAGCTCAAAGCCCTTCCTCTGCTTGAGGGAAAGCTACCCAAGCAAAAGGAAAACCACAGCATGACTTAAGGTCTAGAGGATGCTGCAACACCATGCTCATCTTAGGAATTCAGTTACTCCTGAAGGACAGGTAACCTTTGCTCTTAGCTCCGCCCCTCATTATCCTGCACAAACCATAAGCAGCATCAGTGTGGTGGAGGGAATAATTCATAGCTATGTTAAGACTAAGGTTAACTTCCTAAATGTAAAAAACTGATTATTAATAGACTATATAAGCAAAGTTAAAGATATACTTGGACAAATATGAGACTAAAAGTTCACATTATATTATCTAATAATTGAGACTTAAACCACAAAAATACCATTTGATATTCACTCACCAAACTGAAAATATGCAAAATGGGAAAGTGAGAAAAAAGGACCCTCTTGTATACTACCCATGTATAAATTGACACCTTCACTAGAAGATTCCGAACCATTTAATTGATTTTGTTTCTTATTTTGTTTTCATTCAAATGCCTTTTTTAAAAAAAAAATCCCAGTACATGGACAGAAAATTGGATCCACTTTAAATGAACTTGGAATCTTCACCCAAAAGGAATTGTGTATCAACAAAGTGCAAACTCGTATTACTGAGCTTCCCTAGGACTTACTGGTACTTGACTAAAACAGATAAGATACTCGGCAACATTTTATTTGAACATGCTGTCCCTCAGTATAAAACCACATTAACAGCAACTTAAGACTTTTATAATAAAAGGGAAATGAGTTTGAACTGAAAAAAGAAAATTACAGAACACAACACTCACTCGCTTTATAACTGCTACCCAACCTCATGTGCTAATGTTGGGATGTCTTTTCCAGCTAGGACAGTGGCATATGCCTGTAATCCCATGGCATGGGAGGCTGAGACACAGGTGAAGACACACAGCAAGTTTGTCTCCACATAAACAGCCAGCCTTCTCCAGTCCACCTGCACGGCTTCTGGACTTACGTCTACATGACTCAGCTGCAGGCTGTCCTCCTGAGACTCCGTCCAATGCTAACATTACATGCATTGTGTATCATAAAGAAAAACGACAGCTCAGCTATGGAGTGAGGCTTTACTAAAACTCACTTCACACCACTGCAAGTGGCTACTAAGCCTTAGACTTTGACTTGAATGCCAAGTCAGGGTATTCCTTCAGAAATAATTTTACACAGCACTTGACTGTAACAAATGTAGTCCAAACAGTATACAGCCCTCAGTTCTGAACTGAAACAGGAACAAGACTGATCAAGTGGGCGCAGCCATACATCGTGACAGCTTTGCTAACGACAGTTACAATGCTACTGACAGACGGATGCTTCAAAATTCAGAGATTGCAGGATACTTAAAAAGCAGTTTGTAATACATTTAACTTTAAGATACCATTTAATGACATGTTTCTTTCAGCTCCCCAACCCTAGACATATTTGGGAAAAGCACAGCATCAGAACTGCTTCAGTCCAGCCTTTCCTCCTTTCTATCAAGCGACTCAAGATCTGTGCTGGGGATACGGGTACGCTACATGGTTAGTCTTCCTTGGTAATGTGCCTTAAATTAGGAAAAGTCTAGAGACAGTCACTTCAAAGGAACTGACATATGTACCAGCTGGGGTTAGGGTGGAATACTTGACCTGAAGACAATTAAGGAGTGGGACTTAAAAGTCAAAATACAAAATCATAAATATCTAAACTTTGAATAATTATTAAGACTGAGTTTTACTACTGAACTTGCATAAGGAAAAAAGGGGACCATGTGGTAGATGAAATTAAATGAGCAATATAATGAATGAATTATAGTTCAAAAGTATATAACAAACAGGCTGGCAAGATGGCTCAGCAGGTCAAAAAGCTTGCCATTAAGACTGACAACATGAGTCTGATCCCTGGGACACACATGGTGAAATGAGAGCTTACTGTGGCATCAGCACGCAGCCCCCACATACATAACATGTATACAGAAGAAAAGTCATTACCATAAGGAGTTACCCACTTCACATTCCAGAATGGACCTATTTACAAGAGTACAGTTTAATTCCACTTTCACTAAAAAGAACCAAATTCAAGTAAAATGAAGAGAGTACATTCTGGCCAGAACTCCGCACTGGAGCTACAGTAACCAACAGTGTAGCCTTTGTAAGAGTTTAGACAAAAGGCAACAGGGTATCAGTAGGTAGTAGAAGCAGACACATGTGCTGGGTCATCAGTGTTTGACAAAGGGCATGGCATTGGTACAACTCTGTGAAAAGGAAATTATCAATACTATGGATCAAAAAAATCAAAAGATGTATATACATAGAGAGAAAAAAAGAAAAAGAAAAATCCTCTTAAAATGGCAAGAGGAAGGAGGTATCTTCCTGTCTGCTGTCAAGGTTTCCTCTGTAACCTAAGACAGCTCCCCATCCACTTTCCCACTGTGGCACTCAAGACTCATCAGAGCAACGGTGACACGTGGAGAGGCTGGGCAACGGTGAAGCCTTGTCGACAGTGAGTATAGCCACTGGCATCATAGACTATATTTCTGAAAGCTAGAAATATAAAACTAGGCAAGAGGAAAAAACAAAACAGAAAAACCACTCAAGAGTGAGGCAGTCAACAACTCCCAGAACTGTCCTGAGCTTGAGGCCAGGCTAGGCTACAAAGCTGAGTTCATAGCCACAGAGGAAAACTATGTCTCAACAGACAGAAACCCAACCAAACAATAAAAACACTTAAACATCAGGAATCATATGTGGGATGATCTCATAGAAACTAAAGGGAAATGCTAATTGTGAGAGGCTCAATATGCAAAGCTAAATGGAGATTTCAAACAGACTGGGAGAGTGTGCGCTCACACAACACAGCTAGTAATCATGTTAAAACGTCAAACGAGAAAGACAGACTCAAAAGATCAGTGGCATCAGGACCCGAGAACTGACTTCAGAAAAGAAACTCAGATGGCCAACATGCATTTTTACACGGAATGAGAAATCCAAACTCTGCAGATACTAGAGAATTGCTTGCATCTCTGGCAAAACACAAGGTAGGCAGTACTGAGGGCTGATGAGGAGTGGGGAGATGGAGACATTCTGGCCTGTGGTATCCATCTGTGCATCTGTAATATAATGCTTGGCACCAACTGCAAACGCTCAGGACCCAGTCGTCCCATTTCTGGAAGCACCAGTCTAGAGTAGTATTATTACACGCTCAAAGAGCATGTGCAAGATGCCTGGTTTGGGGATGTTGCAAACAACCAGTATTTGAATGGGCACAGCACTAAATACTATGGTACAGTCACAAAACTAGGTAGTATGCCTGTTTTTAGTGTGACTCAATCATTCACTTTCTAGAAGAGGGGGATGTGGAAGAAATGCGAACAGGTTAGGTTGAAACCTAAGGCTAGGAAACACTATTTCCTCCTCATAATATACCCAAACAAAACACAGCCGGCAGATCTGTGGGGAAGGAGAGCAGTCCATGTTTGAGATAGTCTCAACTATGTAGCCGGACTCAAACCTGCAGTTCTCTTTGCCTCTACCTCCTGAACACTAGTGTGAGCTGCCAGGCCCAGCAGTGACAGCATTTAATCTTTACTTTCAAGACTCCCACTTTTCTTTCCCCACCTTCCATATAAAGTAGATCACAATTGCAGGCAACACGGCCCACAGTTTAGGCAAGAGCTTTTACCAAGGGTCATTTCTTGTGAAAGTAACCATCTAGGTTCATTGGCCTAGTCATAACTAGGGAAGCCAACTGACTTCTTAATTTCTATCTTCTAAAAGTTAACAGTTCTTTATTCACCTTTAATTCCAACTTTCAGGAGGCAGAAGGTAAATCCCTGAGTTCAAGGCCAGCCAGGGCTATGTATTGAGATTCAAATAGGAAAAGGCAGAAGCACTCTAGAGTTGAGAATGGTACTTACGCAGCATTTTTTTTGGGGGGGGGTGTTATCACATACTGGGGAGACCCTGAGCTTTACCTCTATATAACAGTGACATAAATCATCAAGGGAGGGGGGACAAAACCAGAAGCCTAGGCTACAGGAGTATCTAAGCAGCACAACTTTCCTGTTACACTGAAGACCCTGAGTTCAATTCCCAGCAGAACAAAAGCAAATAAAAAAATAAACAAACCAAAACACTCACCTAGTTTTTCTTTTGGGCTCAAAGAAAGACTCCCAAAGTTGGCTGGGGGGCGGGGGCTGGGAGCAGAAGCATGTAGCTTTTAGTATTAACCATCTCTATACCCTAGACTACTTCATACATACGATGGATTTTTTGAACACCTAGAGATCACCTAATTTGTGTAAAAATTACAATGTAATTTTCACTGAACATTTTTAGCTGCCTCCACCAAAATCTTATCAGATACCTTCTCTTTAACCAGCATAACTTCAAAATATGGCATGGCAGTTTATGACTGTAGTCTCAAAATACTTTAGAGGCTGAGGTATAAAGGTTACAGGTTTGAAGCCAGCCTAGGTTATCCCACGAGACCTTGTCTCCAAACTCAAACAAGAACTATGTAACACAAAGACAACAAAACAAAAATTATTTAGAATTAGAATTATGCATCGCCTGCCACCTGACCACTACAGAGGCACATGTCTGTAATCCCAGCATGGGGCATGAGGGGAGGGGAGCCTAAAGCTGCGGCAAATCTAGGCTACACAGCAAGATCACATCAAAACAAAAGAACTTCTATTCCTAAGTGTCTACCTCTTAACAGTCAGTCCTGCCTGGCACTAAGGCCTCACTATTGGAGCTGTGGCTTGAACTAGCTGGTCCCTTTTCATGAGAACACAGTGGTTAGTGTGGAAGAATGATGGTTCAGGAGACATTTCCTCCACAATACATGAAGCAAGCGGTCACTTAGGGGCAACTGACAGTATTTGTTGCCAGTGATAAATTTCACCTTTCAAAAGAACATTAAAATTCTAAAAAATCTCTATCACCATAAGCTTGACAGCTTCCCAATACTTAAAAAGGACTTTAAAAATCAATTTGGTTAGCAAACAAACTGTCAACCATTACATAATACAACTGTCAGCACTGGAAAAAATTATGCAATTCAGTGAACTAGTATTTTCCAAACAACCAACATGCACAGGTAAAAATCCGATCAAAATGCAAGACAGACCCAAAGGATGCCACATGAACAGCTCGGTCTTCTCAGAGAAAGGCTTTAAACTGCACATGCTCTCTCCTCGCTAGGTCTGTGTAAGGTTAGCTTCAGCAACCACGTCACACACAATGTGACTGCATCCAAAATAAACAAGGCATTAAAACACAGGCAAACCCAGCCCTATGCTGGAAAGTGAAATCGGTGCCAGGTTTTGTGTTTTTGTTATTGTTGTTTATATTTAAAAAATTATTTTTCATAAACTGATGAGTTATCTCTGCTAGCGTAGTGTTTTAAAGTTACAGACAAAAATGCCTGTTTTCAATTCCTATACAAATAGGAATATAATCCACAAAAGCACAAAGTTCTTTGGGATATTTAAAATTTAAGATTACAAATGGGTCCTGAGATCAAATTTTACAAGTAACTGGACAGCAAAGGTCACAAGAGTAAAGAAATATTAAATACGGATTTTTCTTTCTAGGTCATCAACACAGTATTTCTATTTCAACACCCACTAACCACTCAAGAGGTGTTTTTCTCAAGTAGTATTATCAGGAGGTTTTAGAGCAGAGGAGAGGTTAACTAGTAGTGTCCTACCTGGTCTGGCTGATGCCTCTTTTAAAGCTAGAATTCATCTATGTTCATATCAATAACTCCACAAGTATATCAATGATACATGTTTAAACCACAACCAACGTTGCATTTTTATTCTTGAAAATCATACCAAAAAGTAATATGTCACACTGTTTTAAAATCGATTCTTTATTCAGGTAACAAGTTGGTTATGTTCACCGCATTGTATGAAACATCAGGTACCATCCTGGAAAGGAACTATCAGTACAGGTCAGATCAGAGGGACAGGTTAACAATGACCCATTTGCATTCTTCATTCCCCAGCTTTTAACAACCCCCAAACCCCAGTAAAGGGACAAGTAGCTTTTAACATCATCATGTGAAGCACTTTAACTTACAAGACTAAAATATAAAGAATAAATAAAATATATTGTGGCAGTAATTCCTTTTAGAGCAAAATCAGGTGCACAAGAAATCAAGTGATCAGGAAAGCTATCTGCATTCAAATGTGTGGCTCCCCAGAAACAGCCTCAGGAAAATGATACAGAAAATACCATAAATTCCATTTCACATAGGACCAGATAATGACTTATGTTTAACTACACACAAGGGCAGTTACAACCTGCTGAAACACAATTAAGACATACGGGAAAATGTTTACAAAGCATCCACAACATGTAAACCATGTACAAATGGATACATTCATTACTTCTCCAAACTCCAGTAACTTCTTTTTGATAAATATTTTACTCTTCATGTTCAGGACAAAATTCAAAACATGCAAAACTTAAAAAATTCAAAGTTATTGTAAAAATAGAACTAAATAATTTAAGTACCTATGTGACAGCCACTCTGTACCGTGCCCAATGTTATAAAATGAAAGGTTACTGAACTCATGAAAATATCTCTGTATTTCCCTAGATCTAAAATAGATACTTTAAAATGTATTTATAGTATTTTGATGTAATATTCTGAGCTTTTAAAATAACATAAACAGTTAAAAATTATACCAAATTACATAAAAATTGTATCTTAAAAGCTGAAAAAATTAAAACTATATAGTAGCAACCCACATGTAAAACAAAACGATCACAATTTATATTATAAAGGCAAATCTTATCAATTAAAATAATTTGAAGCCAGTAAGGTGACAAAGCAAATTATAAATAGCCATAAATTAATTCATTTGGTTTCACGAGGTCTTCTAGGGAGAGCTGACGGATGTAGCAGACACATGCGGAAATTTTTAAGGGTTTCTATTAACGCCAGACAGCGAATCTTGAAGCAAGGCAATGTTACAATGTGAACATTATTGGAGAACCCAATTTGGTAATACAAGTAAATTGGAAAAAAATTAAATAACAATAAATACATATTCTATAATAAATTGCTCAAATGAAATTCCAAGCCACAGAACTAACAAAAGGCTTCCAACTTAGTAAACTGAAACATTGGAACTTTTCTTGCAGTTCTTTACTCTTACATGCTTATATGTTGTGTTTTGTGTTGCTTAAAAAAAAAACAAAAAAAAACAAAACAAAAAACAAAACAAAAAAAACCCATAATGTATCTTCAGAGTATAGCTAACTATATTCCCATGCACCTCAGGCACATTTGTTGATTTCTAGGGCCGTTTTGTTTTTCTAGGGCCAAAAATTCAATATAGTTGCAACCAGATGCCTGAGGTTGGCAAAAAATACTTCAGAGTCCAGGCAATGCTAAAAGTGGCAATTACTGGGAAATACAAGTATGAACAAATGGTGGAAAATGCTAATGGTTTCTGCTCATATCACAAAACAGTGGGAATTTACAAGAATATTTTCCCTTATATTGAAGAAAATGTGATTAAAAGCTTTCCCCCAATTTTCAGAATCAAAAGCATTTTAGAAGGTTATAAGGCTACCAATGAGTCTTCTAGATCGCCAGCACCCTACAAGAAGAGAAAAGGAAGAATATTGTTATTATGCACCTGTACCACTTCCAGGGTGGACTCAATCTCAAAAGAAAACAAATTAGGTGAACAAATTCTCTTCCTTTCTTTTCCTTCCTTCCTTCCTTTGAAAAGGGCATTTTAGCAGAACAGTGTGTGCATTCCGTCATGTATGACATATGTGTATATGACAAAGACAAACTGGGATGTTTTTCTCCCATCCCTTTGCACCTAATGGCCTTCCTTTCCCAAAAACACTTAAAAAATATTCTGGTTTGGAAAAAAAAGTATCAAAACAAAAACATCAACTACAATGTCTGAATATTCCAAACTTTTAAATTATGGTACCTTAAGCAACTGGAAACACGAATATAAAAATATAAGTTAATGTATAGATAAAAAAAAAGCTTAAAAATTCCTCAGTATTTACAGCACCCTTTATTAAAAGTATCAATTTTACCAAAGCCAAAACATAAAACCTGTTTTTAAAATCGCGTAGGATTCTTACACGTTTTACTACCTGAGGAATCCTTGTCACCAATGCTCGGGGGAGAACTTTCTTAAATAGTTCCACGTGCCAAGCTGTCTAAAGATGAGTGTTCCACACCACAGAAAAGGCAGCAGAACTATGGCATTTTTGAGTAAGCAAGACTTTAATTTATACTTTTAAATTAAAATGTTTTTCTCTTTTTTTAATGAAAACTAGCTGAGCCAAAGTGTGCCAAATTTAATAGGACTATAAATGACCTTTATTGAGTTTAAGTGTCCCAAACCTGATTGTTAAATAAATAACAACTAATAAAGTACAAATGCGTAGATGATTCCACATCACATGCTTTATTTGGACGTAAACACTGATCATTTCATTCTAAACATGTGGTTGACATACATTTTTGTGTGTTTAGTAGGCTATACAGAATATACAAATGAAAGCTATATGAAAAGTACATAGTTCTTTAAAAAAATTTTTCATAAAGAATACAGAGAAAGGAAAAATAACCACACATCCAGTATCTCAATAAATTCTAAAAATAAAACTACAGAAATGTAAAATATAAACAAATCAAAACACACAGATTATCAACTCTGAAAGAAAAGTTATAGGCCAATTCTAGCCATTCTTGAAGAACTAAGATGATAAGTAAATACAGACGGATTACAATGCTAACTATGCAAGGCATGAGTGTATAAAATAAGCAGCGTCAATTCTACATTAACAAGGTTGTTTTTTCACAATGAATAGTTGTCTTTCCAATCAGTAATCTCTAATCCTAGTTATTAAGAATTAAACTACTGAATTTAATAATGACAACCTATTTTCTGGCATACAATGTGAAAGGACATATAACTTCATTAAATTCAAAATACTATAAATAGTCAATCTTAAACTATCATAAAGGTGTATGCAAAGGCCTTTAAAAAAACAAGGCTATAGGAATATAAGAAAACTAGTTTCCCAAGATTCAAATAACAAAATGGTTATATAAATGCACATAGTACACTTCCTAAGTAAAAACTGTCAAATCAACATCACAAAAATATCACTCAAAAAAGGTCATATTTTTTCAGCACTCATCTTTGTCCCTGCATCTTCATTACGGCTGTCTAAATCAGCAGGACCACTTTCAGTGTGTCTCTCCTGCATTGCCACTGGGTTTCCAGCATCACTGTTCGAAGAAGCAGCTGCAGCAGCTGGGTCAGCCGGGCTCTCTTCTCCCTCTACTTTAGCTAGCCTGTAACTAGTCAGCATCTCCTCCAGCAGTTGTCGGTAGTTTCCCCTATGGTTAACTCTCATTTGCCTGAGAGCTTCCACCAATTTCCCCTGTGATCCACTTTCCTCTGCTTCATCGGAGGCCTTTTTTTAAGATTCAAGACCCCAGTGTCAGTAGACAAACTAGGATAGCACATGGATTTCATCACACATCACACAAAGCACTGTTTCTCTACCATAAGCAACATAGTCAACAGAACATTTTCATTAAGAATCAGTTCTTACCTGTGCAGATTAATAAAAAATTTCTTATTGTAACATCAAATTAATTTTAGTCAATTACCACAAACCAGTTTATGACTTATTCCAATTACCATCTGAGGGTTAATCTGAAATTTACTTTGCTTTTAAAATTCAACAAGAACACAAACATTTCCTAAAATAACTTACTTTTTTAAAAAAATTGTTGGCTAAAATGATTAAGTTCAAAGGGAAAATAGTGTTTTAAAGCGAGGCAAAGGACAGAAGAGCAGCCGTCAGAATGTTAGTTCCTTCATTTCTGCTAAATGGTGAGTAGGAGAAAAGATACAAACGTAAAACTACAAAAATGTAAACTGGATTCTTTTGGTGATTTAGAAACTTTTGAAAATAAAATTGTTTTTGCCGTAAAATATAATATTTAATAAAATCATCTCCAGATAAATACGATCTTTTAAACACTAAATACTGGAAATTCCATGAGTTTCTAAAATTATATCTACTTAAGCTTCTTAGCAGAGAAGGATCTTGTAATCCATATTGATGAGTTGACAAACTGAAATCACGACAGCCTTGCACACGTGGCTCCTTCACAAGCACTTCACAAGCACCCACCACGACAGCCTTACATACAAGTCCCCCACATCAGGACAGCCTTACATACA